AATACCAGAGTTTGAAAATAAAAGTTGAAATTTTATATTCTCATTTTGGATTTTGAAATCTCACTACCGCCAATACCAGAGTTTGAAAATAAAAGTTTAACTTTTATATTCTCATTTTGGATTTTGAAATCTCACCACCGCCAATACCATAGTTTGAAAATAAAAGTTAAAATTTTTTATTCTCATTTTGGATTGGCAAATCTCACTTTTTATTTTTTTCATGAATCTCACTACCTTAGAACTTGACACTATATACTTTTATTTTATAAAACTGGGGCATTTTATACCTACAGCAGTATCCCAGAGTACCCAGCAGTACGAAGAAGATATGGGGATTACAAATTGGCGTGGTTGACATCCTTCCCCCCCATCAGCGGATTAGTATTAAATTATCTTAGAAGTGTTTCTGACTCTTCTCATATATCTTTTTATTAAAAATCTACAATTCTGTTTGGTTTGGCAACTTTTTCTTCAGAATCTTTCCTACTTTCTGAAAGGTTTTACATCTGTAAGTTTAAAGATATCTTCTCGATATAAAGCAATGATTATCAATAACTATTTTGACTTAAACTCTTAACTAAATGAATTTAGAAAAAAACATGTCGGTTTAAGAAAGTTTTATATAAATATATGCAATCACCCAGAACAAAAGTTTTATCAAAATTAAACTTTTTTAGGTTTATGGTTCGTTTTCAAAACATGCAAACAAAATATTTTGACCCTCCTAGGCTTAGTACGTCAATATAAACCATACTGCTGTTACGCTAGCTACGCTGCGTTCATAAAGTCTATGTGATACCCCTGTGATTCTCTGAGTTCCCCCTGAGGATCTGTACAGAACTTATTGTGAAGAACTAGTTTTAGAAGCTGTTTACAGTCCGACTACGCATGCGCAAGTTCTCTGCGTAGGAGCGAGCAGATTCTACTTCAGTATATAGTTGTATTTCATGTAATGTTCGTCGATTATTAAAACCGTGTGAAAATTCTAGGACCACTGCGGTAATTATGATTAAATTTATATGAATATTGTTTATTTATGTTCGGTTATGGTTGATATTGTATGATGTAATGTATGGGTTCCTTGCCACAGTTTTTTAATGCCTGAGTGGATTTATTGCTGTATTTGTATGATTTATCACTCAATGCTTTTTCTGTTGGCTTATAAAAGATTATTTAGATTGAAGGCTTAGAGAAATAAACGTTCGGAACCTTATTATCATCCTTTTGTTATGGAGAGCGTTGAGAGAAGGAAGCCTTACAATCCTATCCAGAGAAATACCACTCGGTACTTATAGATTTCATTAGGTCTTTAGGGAATTCGCTAAGTAGCGAAACAACTGCTGACCTTCAATAATCACACAGGGACATTTTCATCTTTCTTTTATGAAAATCCACGAAATTCTATTTATAATATCCGCAACACTTTTTTTTGGTTTTACAATGTATACAAAGAGAAATTGTTAACAATTTAAAAAGCCTAGTAATTGATATTCTTATTAGTATATTTATTAACCTTCAATGTTTCACTTGCCACCTCCCATTCTCCTTTTTGAGAAAGAGTCAGAATTTTTCTGCAGTATGCTCGGGCAATCTCATCAGCAGTCGGTGGGGGAGGCTCATTATCTGAAAATTGTTTTCATAAAAAAATCATATTTTAATCGAAAAAGTAATTTATATTTACTTTTCTTTTCTTTCTTGACTACTTTTCTTATCAGATCTGCCATAGATGGTGGCTGGGATGGGTCTCTGGTCTCTTCTCTTTCTTTATCCTTCAAGTCGGATATTATCCCAAATATGCTTCTAAAAAAAGTTTAAATAAGTTTTGAGTTGATATTTGGTTTTCAGTATGCTCCGCTGTTCTAAACGAAACCATCTATTTAAAGCTTGGCATTTCTGATTTTTCTGCTCGAGAATGAAGTAGATATTCATGTTATATTGCCTGAAAATTGATTATTTTCAGCAAGATGTTAGAAATTAACATGTTTTGAGATAGAAAAACAACAACTTAAATGAAGGGCCATTGGAAATAATGTCTTTACAGGCTTTTTAGGGCTTTTTAGTTCTAAGACATTTGGTTGCAAAGATATAGGATTAGAAAATCAGAGTCTGTTCGCAAAATCTTAATTCCAAAAATTGTTATTTGAACTGAAAATCCCCCCCCCCCTGACTCGTGCTAAATATGATTGTCCAAGATTGTCCAAACCATTTTTCTGTTTAGTTTAATGGAAAAGAAATATGTTGTCCTTACCGAACTTCTTTTGGTGGCGTTGTCCTTAGAGTATCTGAGGACTTAGCCCTAGATAGAAATACTTACATTATTTAGATGACAGACGACAGTTTAGAGGCGATTTGAAGATCGTCTTTGATTTTAGTAAATAACCAAGTTGTCCAAATGTGAACAAAATTCTTTATATCATAAAGGTCATATTGAAAGTGCAAAAAGGCAGCCCATTTCGGAAATCCTATGACTAGGGGTGTTTTGTAATATAATTTCCAAGACTTTTTACTGTGATATATGGGTTCAAGGATGCACGCCGCAATCTATTTCAAATATCAAAGACGACCTTCAATTCGTCTCTCAACTATTATGTGGGGCACCCTGTAACAAAAAGATGTGGATATGACGGGTTTCATAAACTATCATTGTTGGTATTTATCTAGGTGCCTGCATCTGCAGTTTTCATTGATCTAATTTTTTAATTATACAAAAAGTTCACTTAATGTACAGAGCTAAATTTATAAAAAAAAAATTATGAACCATCATAGACTTTTTAAAGGTTAAAATTTACCAAAGAACAATAAATCTTCTGTAAAGTTTAAGCAATCATTACAAAGTTTAAGTATTTTACCTAAGCAATGGCTTTGGAGGCATTAAAGATTTAATGTTCTGTGGTTTAGCAGATTTGGTGACAGGTCTAGGAGATCTAGAGATCCTTGGAGATCTGGGAGCTCCAGGTGTTCTAGGTGTACCATTTTCAGATCTTGATTTCTGCAAGCATTCAAGTTTATTCAAGGATTTTCTTCACATGTATCCCCCCTCATGAATGATTTAGCTGAATGAGGAAAAATAAATAACTTAGTTTTAGCAATATTAAATCTATTTATTTGATAAATCATTTTTGTTCTTTTAAACAAATATTCAACTAATTACAGATTTCCTTAAATTTATTTTCTGATTCTATACTCTCAAGTAGGGATGTTAACCTTTTCATTTTTTTTTAAAAAACGATCGTTTCGTTAGGAAAACGACGACGAAAAATCGAAAACTAAACGATCGTTTTTAAAAATCGTTTAAAAAAACAATCGTATAAAAAACGGTCGCAAATCGTTTTTAAAAAACCGATCTTTTCAAAAACGATCGTTATTCGTTTTCTAAAAAGTTCAAAACGAGTGGGTCGTTTTTCTAAACGATCGTTTTTTCCCAAAACGAAACGATCGTTTTTGAAAACGATTAAAAAACGAAACAAAAACGATCGTTTAACGATCGTTTTTAACAACCCTACTCTAAAGTCTCAGCTAACAGTCTTAAACTGTAAAATTTGCAATGCCTTCCTTGGATGATCTTCCTGGTAGCAAACCCATCATTTCTTTCACTTCATCCGGCATACTTCCACCGGCCTCATTTATCTTAAATAGACTTTTAGAAGAAAAATCATGATAGACTATTTTGTGTATGATCTGTACCCAATAACTAAAAAATTTTAAATTAAAAAAATAAATGTTAAAAAATTCTTCTTAACATTCAGAAATAATGTGACGACCGTGTTTTTTTTTTTAAGCGGAGGGAAGGGATTTCGTGTAAAAGTCTATTTTATCTAAAAATTTACTCTCAAGTCAAAACTCAACACAAAAAATTTGATCTCAGACAAACGATTTTTGTCAGAACAAATACAATCTAAATGCTTGCTGTTGAAAAATAGCTGACTTAAATTATTAAATTTAAAATTGTAATTTACAACCTTTTCTTTTCGCTCCTCAGCATCTTTGATAAGTTCTGATATACTTTTTATCTTTTTTCCTCGTACTGGTGTCCGAGCCATTCTACCCACCCGGGGACTAGATAATTGGTTCTTATATAATATTAATAATGAAATCAATATTAAAATTAATATTTTTTTATTTGTAAATCTTTAATTTAAGGATTTGTCTTTTTCTAAAGAAGCTTTTGAAACGATCGTTATACTAACACAACAGATCAATTATTTGGAAGTTTAATAACTCACTTTTTTATCTACTGTAGTCGGCGATTATATCATTACAATGAAGACGACTTTTTATTGTTTTTATTGTTCACTGGCTTTTTTCGAAATACAAGTTTACAAGTAATAAAAAACAGTTTTTTAATTAACTGTTTCTTTTTTTCCATGTTTTTGTGTATTCATGCTGTTTAAAAGCTTGTTATTAATAAAATTTAAATCGAAATTCGTCTTAATTGTTTTGATAAAGATTTCTTGAATGGTAAAGATTATAAATAAAGAAATGATGAATTATTAAAAACCTAAGATTTAAGATAGACTTATAAAGATTTCTTGAATGGTAAAGAGTTTAAATAAAGAAATCGTGAATTATTAAATACTTTATGATCTAAGCTAGATTTCTAAAGATTTCTTGAATAGTAAAGAGTATAAATAAAGAAATGATGTACAAATGAAATATTAAATACCTAAGATCTAAGCTAGATTTATAAAGATCTGTAGAGAGGGTAGAGGCAGAGGACAAATCTTTAGATGTATAAATAAGCTTTTTATTTGGCAAGCTGAAGTGCCCGGCGTTGCCCATAAAATCACATTTGAAGGAAAAAATTAAATTTTGAAAAAAATAATCCATTTTCTAGCCTATGTTACCAATGGGTTACCTAAAAAAATCAACCAGTTTGGTTCAACCGTTTGGCCAGCTAAATAGCTAACATATATTATATAGATTAAAGGCATTGATGAAAAACAACTTAGATAGAACACTAGAAGTTTTTTTTTTTAAAGATTTAAGGGGTTTTTCGTTCACAATAACCCTGAGGCAGAAGCCCAAAGGAGTTCCGTCCATGCGGCGTAGAAAAGGCTCTATCTCTGTCTTGTAATTCAACGCAGCATGCGCTTAAGTCCTTTTGGCTTCTGTCTCAGAATTATTGTAAACGAAAACCCCTAAATCTTGAAAAGACAACACCTAGTGTTCTAACTGTGGTGTTATTAATCTATGATTAAAGTTATCTTTCATACGTTGTAGCGAAGATCAAAGATGTGTAATAAAATCAGCTCCGGGCAGCTCGATTATTTAAATCAGCTACGGTCAGCTCGATTAATTAAATCAGCTCCGGTCAGCTCGATTATTTAAATCAGCTACGGTCAGCTCGATTAATTAAAACAGCTACGGTCAGCTCGATTTCAATTGACTTTCTATTCAAAAAGATACATGCCCAATCCCCAAATTGAAAATGAGATACTCTCCAGTCTCCAACCCTTTATACATAAAACAACTAGCTGAAGGACCCGGCGTTGCCCGTCAATAAAAATTTTAACAAAATTTTTCTTTTAAATTTAGATTTTTGAAAAAATCGATTTTTGGAAAATACTAATTTTAGAATTTTTTAGCCTATATTACCCCCAAAGGTTCCCATGGGTCCCCTCAAAAGATTTCAGCCCATTCGGTCCAGCCGTTTTTCCGGCTATAGGGAACATATATACAAATGTCTTGTACGTTTTATTATAAAGATTAGGAGACTTTTTTTACTTTTAAAGAAACCAGCATTAAGATAAAAAGCATGATTTTTCAGATAGAAAACACAGTCTTTGTATTGAAATCTGTGAATAAAGATTGAATTACTTGAACGTCAACAGAGGCACCTTAAAGCTTCTTAAATCCATATTTAGAACTCAAACATATATTACACTGGGACCTGTAAAACTTTGGGATAGGAAGACGATCTACTGTAGATTTTAGATATTCCATTAAACAATAAACACAGCAATTGTGAAATGTACTTCAGACCCATTTTGCATGTTTCATACGTTAATTGTTAGGCTACTGCACTAAGACATTATAACATTATTTACAATAACAATAAACACACATCAAGCTACTAATTTAATATTTATATGGGGCTTGCTCTAGTGAAATGGACATGTATGGCCGGCCTGCTTTATAGTCAGTCTTATTTTGAATATTATCATATTTTGTAGAGATTATACATTCCTGTAGATTCCCTCCCCCAAACTCCTCCATACTTCCTCCTAGCTCCGGTCCTATCTCTGAAATAAAAATAAGAAAATTCACAAAATTTTGTTCAACATTTATTCGATTTATTTTTCTTATTAACATTTTGCTTCCTTTTATGATTTTAAGACGTTTAGAATTTCTGTATTTTGATTTTGAAATCAATATATAAGCTAAATGTTCAAGGTTTTGTACCCCACCCCTTTTTTGGATTTTTATCCAGATAATTATTTTCCTATTCTAAAATATTATTTACCTGCTCATTAGAGATATTTTGTCCTTTGTTTGCCTCAGCTCCTTAGAACAAAATAGTTAAAGGTACTGTACAGCGTACTCTTAAGAAAACCCCTAATTATAGAGTTGCATACACGATTCACATCGGTACCCTTTCCACCTTAAACTAATAGACAAATAGGAAATATGTAGGTTGAATTAGGTTAATTATAAGAATATCTACATCATTTTAGCTAAGATGAAAGTTTTGAAGGGTTATACTATATGGTGAATTGGGCATGCTTTTTAAAACAGTTTTTTTAGAGAGTCAGTTAAAACTACGTTTACAGCCTCTTTACATAAACAGATACTGTATTAACCCTATCCCTGCTGGGGTACTTGAAAACCAAGATACGCTGTGGGGGGGTCAATTTGACCCCCCCCCTCTAAATCCCATGTTTAATGTCCAAATATGACAAATGATACATCTTTGGAAAGCTCTTGTGAACTACTTTTAGAATCTGCAAAAAATTGCAAATTTGCAAAAATTGAATTTTTTATCGCAAAATCCAGTTTTATAGTAAAAATGTTTACAAAAAAAATTGTCGAAAAAATGATATTTTATACATTTTTGAAAAGCCCTTGACCATGTCATTTTAAATATGCAAAAAGTTTTGCAAAATTTTAAATAACCTGATTTTTAATCAAGAAAAACTAAAAATGTTCAAACTTCCTTTGACAGGTTGTTTACAAAAAATTTGCAATTTTTTTTTAGCAAAACTTGTGCAATCCGTTTCCTTATGTCTAGGCATTCCAAAAAGCTAAATTTTATCAAAATCTGACAAGTGAAAGTGGGTTAAAACAAAGATTTAGTTTGTTACAGGAAAAAGCAGTCATTCAGGCAGTGTGCCTGAGGACTCAGGCAGTTAGTATTAAAGCCCGGTTTTAGGCCTAAAGGGAGGGCTTTGGGTATGTAGGAAAAGTCAGAAAATTTGAACAGCCTCAGACCAATACTTTTTGAGTTATGTAAAAAAAACTACAGAGGGGGGGTCAAATTGACCCCCCCCCCCAGCAGGAATAGGGTTAAAGGTTTGGAACTTTCCAGTTATCATTTTCTCAACTCACAATTTACGAAACATACATTTTCGAAAAAGAAAGATACAAAAAATGATAATGCTCACGTGACACATGGTGTAAGCTACGATGGTTTCTGAAAGAAATTTTTAATACAGGGTGTCCCATATAAACGTGAGAATTTAGTGACGACTTTTATATCGTCATCGATCTATGCGGCATTTTATCATGAATACAATTATTGCAGTAATCCAGCTTAAACATCTAACATCGAAAACGCCTGGTCTTGAGATTTTCAAAATTTGGTCTACCATTTTTATATCTTCAAAATTGACGGAGATATGGCAAAATTTGAAATTTTAATTTATTTAATGAATCAACATGGTACAACCTCGTGTTTATTACTCTGTTCTGTCTGGCATGCATTAAATATCAGAAATCAAAGACGACTTTCAAGTCGTCTCTTAATTCCCATGTTTATTGGGACACCCTGTTTATCTTGTAGAAAAAATACTAAAAAAATATATATGAATAGAATTAAACTTGGAGAACAAATAATTTTTGATGGGTTGGTAAGAAATTTTTTCTTAAGCAAAAAAGTTTTTTTCTGATGGGAAAAAGGAAAAGACAATTTTTTTTGCTAAAACAAATGCAAAAATTACCTCTGCAGATTCTTTAGCACGAATATTTATCTGAAATATTATATTACATTTTTTTCAAATTTTTTCAAATAATTTTTTTGTTGTAAAAAACTTTATTTTTGTGCATGATCCAGTAGATTTTTTAATCCTATAAGTCTGGACTGAAAGGCCTTGTTAGTTGTTATCTAAAGTTTTGAATTCATTTTGGTGTTGAAATAGAAAAACCATCTTTTACATCATGTGGCTATTATAATATTTATAAAGTTTTTTTTCTTGTATACCTCTGATCCAAATAGATTTGAAATATCAACACCAACTCCTGCTTTTTTCTTCTTACCCCTGAAATCAGTTTTTTCAAGTCTTTTACAGTTTTTAATATATTATGATCATGTGCACAACTTTTCAAGAAAAATTTAAACAAAAGATTGATAACATTGTCATTTTCCATTTTCCAATTTTTGTATTTCTGTTTTTCAAATAAAATTATATGTATTACCTGAGGTTTGATCTTTTTAATAGTCTTGTCCTGGCTTTGGTATCTCCCTCAGACTCATCTAAGAAATAAAATATTCTTTTATATTTTAAACATTTGTATATTATCACCCCCCCCCGGCCCTTAAAAATCGATTTGGTTTCCCAGAATAATTTGCGCGGAATTAAAATATTTTTTTTTGTCGAAGTGGTGAAAGATTTGCCAATTAATGTCTAATTTTTCATTAATCATCAACTTAATTTGGAACTTGTTTCAAAAATCTACATATACCTTCTGTTTGAGACCAAGAATCTACTATATACCTTCTGTTTGAGACCAAGAATCTACTATATACCTTCTGTTTGAGACCAAGAATCTACTATATACCTTCTGTTTGAGACCAAGAATCGATAGATAGCTGAGAAACCTTCCGAGATTGAACCTCCAGAGCTTCTTTAGACGTAGATGTGGATTCTGCTGGATCAGCTGATGCCCGCCCACCTGGCTCCATTGGTCTAAAAAACCGGTTATTGAAGAAAGTGTGCAGCCACGTGCGATGTCAAACATCTAAAGCTTGACAGCTTTTAAATTTTGAACATTTGGGGCAATTACTTTTATTCTAAATGAAAATGGAAACGAAGAAAAAGAATGAGATTATGCATCCAAAATAAAAAAAGTTAAAAACATTTTGTGAAAAAACCCTTAACGTGAGTTATGTAAAACTTAAAAGCAACTATTTTTCTAAGTGGCATAGCAATCAAAAACATTCCTAGCTGGTCAAAATAACTGCTTAATTCTATTGTTGGAGTTATTGTAATGAATTTTTCTTTAAAGGGACTGTCCTTGTGAATTTAAGTGACCCTTTAATTAAAAGAATAAGAGGTGCATGTCCATTTTATTACGCTATCCTTTAAACCTTAATCTGATGTTTTATTCTGATAATTCCTTTATTGTTTTCCAGCAGGAGGAATGAGCAAGTCACTTTTGTAGAGAAACCACACAATCAAAATAATCAGTTTTTTAAAACATTATCATGGATTTCTAATTCATATTTGATTAGACAAAGTGATCAAGGGTACCGTTGTGAATAGGCCACTAGGTTCTTGCTTAAACAAACGAAGATTTTGATTTCAGTTTTAGGTAAATAAAAAATGAATGTTCTAACTTCTAATTTCGAATACTGTTATGTTTTGTGCTGCATGGTGACTAGAAAACAAAAAGATGATTGTTGTCTTTTTTTTTCATGAAATGTCGCCGTTCCCTGTAATGCATTTTGTAAATGGGTTATTTAGATTTGTTTAGCAATATGTTTCATTAAAATTTATGATGATTTTCATGCCTCATTTTATATGCAATGAATGAGTTATAAATCAAAAAAATCATTGCATTGTGATAAGAAAGAAAGAAGACGACAATAATTTCACTGATTTCAGGTTACCAAGGTATGTTGTTGGTTATTACCTGTTATGTTTATTTTCCATTCTACTTGGTTACTAGACTCATACTGTCTCATGAAACCAATATTATCAGTTAATCAAATAGGACATCCTCCTTCAACAGTATATCATAAATAATAAATCAATAGTTAAATTATACTGTAAACTAAAATATTCATTTTAAATGCAAGATATAAAACAAGCGCAACTTTAACCCTATTAAGACTGACGTTTGGTTTATCCAAAATAGTGTGGGGGTCCCAGGGACCCCCCCCCCCTCGATATCCTTATTGTGATACAAATCTAAAACATTTGATACACTTTTGGAAAACCCTTGGGCTCTACTTTAATAATCTGCAAAAAAATAAAATTTCAAATATTTATTGCAATTTTAAGTTTTTCAGCAAAAAAAGTGCAAAAACAAAAATTGTGCGAAATATGATAAAATATACATTTTTGAAAAGCCCTTACAACGGCGAATTCAAGCATTTAAAAATGTTTGCAAAATTTTTAGAACTAAATTTTTATTCAAGGAAAACTGAAAAGGTGCAATTTCTCTTTAAAAGCATCTGTGTAAAAAAAACTATGCAAAATTTCTTTGAACAAATTGTGCAATCTGTTTTCTTTTGTTCAAGGCTTTCCAAAGTCAAAATCCAATTACTGGAAATAGGTCTAAATATAGATTTAGTTGGGTAAAGGTAAGACATTCAAGCATTATGCCTGAGGACTCAGTCAGTAAGTATAAAAGCCCCACTTTGAACATAAAGTTCAAAAATTTAAACAGCCTCAGACAAATAGTTTTTAAGTTATCTCCAAAAAACGCCAGGGGGGCCCAGGGACCCCCCCCCCCAGCTGGAATTCCAAAAAATTATCGAAGATTGGAAGAAGGAAGGATATTTTTTATTTTGCACAAACCTCGTTTATTTACTTTCAGCCTTATCATAGTTATTTTATTATTAATAAACATAGAAAATAGTTGCAATATTTACTATAAAATGAATAATAATAGCAGGAAATAAAAAAATTCTCCCTTCATTAGAATAATAAAATATTATTTTTATGATAAGAAACTTTTTTTTACATTCCATTCATTAAAAAAATTTTAAAGATACCAAGTCTTCAAAATTTTCGTGCTCAATAAGCAACCTTAATAAAAAACTGTAAAGAAATTCAAATAGAGGTTCAAATTTCTTTGATCTCTGATTTCAACATACATTCATTAATTTAGCCGGTGACACACCATATCACACCTGCAGTTCGTGTCCTTGGTTCTTAGCCGTCGGTAAATGGGTAGAGTGTAGAAATCTTGTTTGCACTATCTTTAAATTGCACACACATCTAAACTTCTCATATTACAGGATTTTATACCGGTTAAGAACTAAGTAGTGGATGGTTCTTACTTATACTTTTAACCGAGTGAGCGCAGGGGCATTTAGACCCCTCTTTACACACACTTGTGAATGTATTGCATATCACCAAACCTCTTACAAATATTACATTACTTGTTTTCAAGGAACTAAAACTGTCTTAAAACTAATTACTGATAAACTTCAACTGATTAGTGTATAATAAAATAGGTATTTTAGAAGTACATTTATTGCTTCTAGATATAGATACATGATAAATACGAGTGTGTAAAAGGAGAGGAAGTTGAGAAGGTCTTCTCCGGTTCCAGGGTCCGACACAACTGATTTGCGGATTTCATAATCCTCTTTCGGGGATTTCATATCCTCTACAGAAGTCCCCCCTAAGTCTCGAGTACAGAGAGAGTCGAGACTGATAA